AAATAAATGTTTACTGTAACTTTGGAACACATTTCCTTTTTTAAAAGTTTATCACAGGATTACTATGGAAGTTCTATTATCATGATTATATTAAATTCTTGGTTTAACAAAACAAAGGTGTCATTTTTTAAATTTATTAAGTTGCTTTATATGCTATTTTATATATATTTTGATAAAAAAAATGTTTACTGCATTATTAACTAAACTCAACTGACACCATAAATCTATACGAGGCTTAAGTTAATGGTGAAAATTGTCCAGTAACCATAAAATATATCTGAAACATTCAAAAAATGTTGAATAACATTGAAAATATTAGTCACAATTCAGCTTGTTTTATTTCTATTTTAAAAGTGATATATATGTATGTATATAAGTGTTGATGAATATGGTGATGAAGTTATATTATGTTTATTGTGAAATTTTGGTTTCAATGCTATATTGAAGACATTTTTTATTTCAAATTGTTGTTCAAATTTCTAGCCAGGTGAAATAGCTGTTGTTAAAAACAGTTTTTAAATTGATGAAATACAATAGATAGATACAAAAAATAGGTCTAGGTTGGTTGAGACTTGGTCGAGTATGGTTCAGACTAGGTCGAGTATGGTTCAGACTAGGTCCGAGCATGGTTAAGACTAGGTCGAGCAAGGTTCAGACGCGTATAAATGGTTAAGTACTGGTCGAGTACAAGTTCAGACTGCTAAGTATGGTTCAGACTACAGTCGAGTATTATCAAGTAAATTTCAGACCAATTCAGACTGGTCGAGTAAAAATCAGTACAGTCGAGTACAGATATAGGCCATTTCAGACTTTTACTGGTTTGTAGTGTATGGCATTGAATTTACAGGTATGTTCAGAACAAGCTCTGTAGCATGCCAGGAAAAAAAATGAGTATTATTAGTTACACAGTTTACAAATGTCCTAATACGAGAATTAATCGGGTCAATAAAATTAATATCGGGTGAGGCGAAGCCAAACCCGATATGAATTTTATTGACCCAATAAATTCCGTATTAGGACAATTGCACACTGTGTAACGAATTTATCCAGATTTTGTTATATCACCACGTATTATATTCAAATTCAATTATAAGGACAATATCAACCAAATATATTTAGATATTTTATCTAAAACTGTGGAAAATGAAAAATATTAGGACTATAAATAAACTCATCATAGATACCAGGATTGAATTTTTTTATTTTCGCCAGACGCGCGATCCGTCTACAAAAGACTCATCAGTGACGCTCGAATCAAAAAAAGTTAAAAAGGCCAAATAAAGTACGAAGTTGAAGAGCATTGAGTACCAAAAATTCCGAAAAGTTTTTGCCAAATACAGCTAAGGTAATCTATTCCTGAGGTAGAAAAGCCTTAATATTTCAAAAATTCAAAGTTTTGTTAACAGTTAATTTATAATTATGACCATATCAATGATAATTCATGTAAGCAACTCTTGACTTAATAAAATATTGCACTGAAATTTATCAGGACAATATCAGCCAATCAATTTCCAAGAAATTACTCTGAATCAGGATAAAAATATTTATTTCAATAATTTATAGCAATGATATTTATTTTTTATTTATTTTCTAATTTATTCAAATTTTTTATAGAAAAATCAAATTCCCGATAAAATATAAAGTGTATTTTTAGTGTAAATGAAAAGTCATCGAGCTTAGCAGTGCTAATTAAGTTTGGTAGAATCGCTTTATTTTTTATAGTGGTATTATCAATATGAAATATTACAATTAATATTGGGAACACAACAAATATTAACTGAGAGTAAAAAAAGTTCTAAATTAGATACCTATTTACTCATAACAATTTAAATCATTCTGTCTCGTTTCAGACCCAGAATATGACACAATTGCAATAAATATGAGAGACATAAGCAAAAACAGCCCTATAAAGTTTATGTTAGGGTCTTGAATGATTTGTTCGATCTAAATCACTTTCGTATAGACGATTTCAAAATAATGTACCACCATTCGTGCTATAAATCAAACACTAACAGGCACAACTGGAGTGATAGCCAAAAATTTAGCATGTCGACTTTGACTGAGGGAGTTTGATGTTCAGAATAAAGAAGAATTTGTTATGACCTTTAACCAAAAAAAAAATGAACTTTAACAAAAAATAATGTATCTACAATGCCGATGTTTGTTAAAAAAAACAATGCCGATGTTTGTTAAAAAAAACGTATGTGTAATGAAACGATGTATTCGATCTATCAACTAAACATGGGGAATAGTAGTGTAAAACAGAGAAAATACGAATTCTGATACAACTGCAAATAAAAGCTGCGATTACAGATTTTGAAGCCGATCTTTATTATTATCAAGAATCCATATCTAATTGTCACTGCTGGATATGTATACCTCAACCTAATTTATCTATGAAGTTCTACTTTTGCTGTAGAAAGATTAGTGTTACAAACTTATGAAAAGGTCCTTTTGTTAGACATTCCAAATAACGATTTTTGCATTTATAAAATAATATTGTTAGATGCTTTGTCTGATTGAACATATGCTATAATTGGTCCATAAATAAAGATTTGAAATTTGAAGTAAATGTCTACTAAGTTTTATAACATCACAATTTAATCACACTATAATCCGTATTTTTATGCCTATATCGAAGGACTGAGCTTTTTCGGCTGGTGATACCATTGAGACAGTCAACTGCAGTGGTATCGACCTGGTTGTAGTAATAGCATTAAAAAGTACCTAGTTTACTGCATTAGACATGTACAATGCACATGTCAACAACTAATATGTGTTCAGTGATGCTCAAGACAATATTAATAAAATTCAAAACCTTATACAAACTTTGAAACGCTTAGATAACCAAAAAGTATAACTATAAACTGCTGACACATAGATGTGTCTCGCCTTTATGGTGTGTCGATTGTATAATGTTAAGGGTGAAATTAAAATTGCAATGATTTAACATGTAAACTATGCAAAAAGCCAAAAGAAATGATCCATTACTGAAAGTGCAGGGCTAAATAATCTCTATGGAATTGATAAATTCCAGTACTTATACTACTGCATACCAAAAACTATTGCCTTACCATTATTTGTTAACCTTAAAACTGATCTTATCACAAACTTGATCACGAAATCTAAGCAAACGTTTCAATGTGAATAGACAATGATTGAGGGGGAATGTATCTCAGGTGGTTCTCCTCATCACAAACTAATAAATTTTGGACGCCGCCGACGCCGCTAGAAACAGAACGTATTGGTCTCGAGTCATCGACTTTGTTGGGTCAAGGCAACAGACGGATGAATCGGGGCTCTGAAGATGGAGATCCATTCCTGAATTTCCAATTCCTAAGCTATTGTCAAATAAACAGAAAATCAACCAAGTGTGTCCAATTCCGTGTTAAGCATGAGGTGACAAAACAGCTTAAGCCGTTTATCCTATGTTCGCACCAAGTCCCGCTCTGAAGTCATGTAATTCCCTAATTGTTTCTCTTCGTTGGTAAATTTCAATTAATTTATTAGTTTTAGACATAAGGATTCTACTGTCTAATCATTTACAACAATAACTGTATTACTTTACCCTTGGTGTCAGAATAGCAAAATCACGGAAATTGAATCAACCTTTATATCAAAAGGGAAATGGTGACGATGCAAAAAAACTTCATGAATTTAATTTAATGAAAAGACAGACATAGGTTTGCACTTGTGCTCAGTTGCTTTGTGAATAATGGTACCTTGTTTTTCTAAAGGTCATGACAAGTTATATTCAAGGCTTTGTCCTTCAAATCCTTAATAATATAAGCAAAAAGCTGAGGTGTGACTGAATTACCTGCCATGACTATGGAAACCAATACTATTAAAACAGTTCGACCAATACGCTTCGGAGCTTTGTTCTGTTCATCATCTGCAAAAAATAACAAAGTTATAAAAAGTTCACCCTTTATTAAAAAAAGCCATTAATTATGTTTGATGGTTATATGTTAAATTCGTAATAACTTCTATTCAGCAGTACATGTGCTATGATAGTTCGTCACCATTTGTTCACATTGACATGTTTTAAGTAGTGTTTCAAATATAGCAAGTGTATATGATCAATGACTGTTTTAGAGGACACTTGGAAGTTGAATACATTTGTTTTTCTTATGTTGAAAAAAACTTTTAAATGAATACGGGTGATGTATTGTTTCAATGTTCAACATACAGAATGAGAACAATCCTGCTTTGTTAAAAACACACTGACTGCGATAAATTACACAGAAGTATGTATATCACTTAAATGATAAATGTTATATATGGTTAAAATAATAGTAAATGAATTAACTGTTCAACTTTTCTATACGAGTTATTTATATATTAAGATGAAACAGAATGTGTTACTTTAAAACAAATCTTTCACATAAGATACATTGATAATATATTTTGACTTAACGATATCCCACCCGGCACGCAACGTCATTTCAACGTTGAAATGTTGTTGATATTTCGTCATGACGTTGCTTCAACGTTGTTTCAACGTTGTAACAGCAACGTCGAAGTTATGTTGCAGAAAGTAAGTTGATTCAACGTTGAATTTTCAATGTTGAAATTAGGTTGAAATAAATTTGTTGTTTCAACGTTAAATGTTGGTTGACATGTCGACGATGGAGGTTCTTCCAGAAAAAAAATTGTATGCATCGGTGTAAAACATTATCCAACATCATCGTTAGAGGTGAATCATTATAGTTATACATCCTTTGTATCAACAAAAGTTCATAAATAAGGATTTTGCTATGAAAAATTGTAATCAATGTTTCTTTCATTTTTTTTTGTACAAGATCTAGTAAAATTAGGAATATTCCAAATCCGGGACGTTTATCAAAATCATAAAAGTGTACAAATTTAAATTATCATTCATCGAAATATGCTACTAACTAATTTGTTATAACCGGAAATATTTTAATCAAAGATAAGACACAGCATGTGAAATTAACTGATACACGAGGATTAGCACTTCCAATAATATATTGATAAAATTATCACGTGACATGATGCTGATTAATGTATGACCACACGTGTGTGACCGCCTTTTTCAAACGCGGAAATTGTATAGGAATTTTCCTGGACAATATTTAGAACCGTTTTCAGCAAAGAAGAATTCATAGAAATGTAAGTGTTTCTTTAAATTATTATCCGTTGCTGTACTAACTGTTTTTTAATGCTTGTATGATGTTAACATGGGGAGATTATAAATGCACAAACGTACGTGTATATTTTGAAAATCTCGCCATAGTGTATGTTGTAAAGATAACATTACTGACTTCAGTGTTTACATCGTCTTTTTTGTTGTACGTTCAAATTTATGACTACACTTCTATATACATATGTACTACAATCTGGAAACACCATACTCAGCCTACATACAGCTCATTTTAGTTATCAAGTTACTGCTGATTTGTTAAAGAAAAGGAACTTTTGCGAAGTAAGATTATCATTTCCCCCTTTTTTATCTAAAATTTTAACCCGTCATCCATAATCACACTATTTTAATTATTGTCAACTATGCTCTGAAATTTTTAATAATTTCTTTTTACTCTTCAATCGAATTTTACAAATTTAAAATATTGCTTGGCGATGATCATCGATGTTATTCTTATTTTTTGCACAGGTATTCGAGACAGAACAGTAACTTAGGAAAGGGACAGATCAGTAACTTAGGAAAGAAAGATTTAAGGATAAAAGTAATAGCTGTCAAGGTATGTATTTTTCTAAAATTTTTCACATTTTTGATTATCAATAATCAGTATGTATGTTGGATTGCCTGTGTTGTTTGTGTGAACTTTGTGATTTGAATTGATTTCTATGCTCTATATGGGCCCTTTTGATTTGATTTGATTTGATTTGGATTAATATTTTTTTTTTAATGCATATCAAATTTAAAACATAACCTCTGCAATCAATAAGACAGGTGGTATTGTTACAATAGATCCTGGTGTTCGAGATGGGTGGCATTGTTACAATAGATCTTGGTATTCAAGATGGGTGGCATTGTTACAATAGATTCTGGTGCTCGAAATAGGTGGCATTTTAACAGTAGATCCTGGTGCTCGAGATGGGTGGTATTGTTACAATAGATCCTGGTGTTCGATATGGGTGGCATTGTTACAATAGATCCTGGTGCTCGAGATGGGTGGCATTGTTACAATAGATCCTGGTGCTTGAGATGGGTGGCATTTTAACAATAGATACTGGTGCTCGAGATGGGTGGCATTGTTACAATAGATCCTGGTGCTCGAGATGGGTGGCATTTGTACATCAGATCCTGGTGCTCGAGATAGGTGGCATTTTAACAATAGATCCTGGTGCTCGAGATGGGTGGCATTGTTATAATAGATCCTGGTGCTTGAGATGGGTGGCATTGTTACAATAGATCGTGGTGGCCAAAATAGGTGGCATTTGATCGTGGTGCTCGAGATAGGCCGCATTGCTACATTGTACATGTACAGGAGCGAAAAAAATGGTAAAAAAGGATCCGCTATTATATAAACCAGTAAATTATTTTAAAAAAAAACTGGCCTATATAACATTTTATTCCCTGCCTTTGACGTTCTACGTAATTGCTAAGTCATGTTTACAAAATATTATTTGTGTTTGTTTTTTCAGGAAGAGTAATGGAGGCCTACACAAAGATAACAGAAGCTGAATTAAAGAAGGATTGTGCACCAGAAATGGTTGGAGGAGTTTAGAGACTACAATTCATTTTCACGAAAATAATAAAAATTGATTAAGAGATTATTTGTATTCATTTACCAGATCACCTTTTGGCTCTATTTAATTTAGCTTTTGTCACAACTTGACATCTGTTGTACTGTTTTTTTCCAAATCTTGCTGATGTCCTCTGTAGAGTCATGTGGCTTCAATATCTTGTGTGGTTACTCACTATTATAGATATAAGAAGATGTGGTATGATTTCCAATGAGACAAATATCCACCAGAGTCCAATTGACGTGGAGGTCACTAAACGAACTTCAACAATAAGCACACACCACACCGTATAGACCACAATAGAAGACCCGGACACAATACACCCTTCAATAATGAAACGAGAAAAACCAACCGCCTAAATTTGTTACGACAAACACATGTGACAGATGAACCAACAACAAGCAACGTATTGCTTATTTCAACATGAAAGAATGTTGTTGCAATATTAGGGTGTCGTTGTTCCAATGTTAAGTTTCAACCTATATTCAATCAAAAATCAACGTTGATACAATGTTGAAAATATAACGTTGTTTCAACGTCAGATATTCAACGTTGTGTCAACTTTCAAAACCAACCGTTATTTCAACGTCTTTTCAACGTTACAGATCAACGTTGATTCAACGTTGTTTCAACGTTGAAATGCCTGCTGGGTATGTTTTCATAACTACAAGGATCCTAGACAAACAAAAAATCTTGCTTCATGTCTAAATCATTAAGGATCATTTATATACAGTTCAAATTGATTGTTGTTTTTATTTAATTGTACGGTTTCCGGTTCGAATAGTAAAAAGAATGGACAACGTCGATACAGATATCTGTTTAAGGGTGGGATTAACCACACATTTCAAACGAGAGTGCAAACTTTGAAATATCTCGCCTTCTTTACTGATCATGATTGAATTAAGACTTTACATCAAGTATCACACATTTAGACTTTACTTCAGGTATCTTACATTTAGACTTTACGACAGGTATCACATAAACTAAACATAACCAAGGATATATGTCCATGAGGTCATGGTCAGATGAAACCTCTCAGCGAGGCATATACATCTTAAAATCATTCTTATAACTCAATCAATACGTAACATTCGTGTATTTTCACGCCACAAAGACTTCATAAACATGTTATGAGGAAGAACGACCGAGTCGACACGACATAAGTTTTATGGTCATCATAACGAAACAGTTGCTGATAAGATGTGTCTATGTGTTTTATCCCGTAAGCGACATGTATCGTGCCCTTCGATCTTAAGATACAAGAAAACTGGTGTGATCTCCTAATTTATCGATTTTGTTCCATTCACGTTGTTAAATTGTGATTCAGTATGGATTCGCAACTTCGGACTAAAAAATCATATATATTAAAATGAGAAAAGGTGTCGAGATCGAGATACTTCATTCATTATTTTGATAAGCAATATCATACAACTGTTGGAAAAGTTTTTTTCTTTCATTAAATGTCTTTAAAATGAAAAGCATACAACATAGCTTGACATTTCAAACCTTACGTTGTATGGATGGTAGATCTTGTTTATATTCATACCTTGAAATAATACAGCTATGTCAGTTTCAGTTTCATTCTTTTGTCTGAAAGATAAAAATCTAACATTTTATGAATAAAAGGATGCGCTCAGAATACATCGCTGCGAAAGCAGCACAACAACATAATCAAAGCATCGTGGATATTGTGATCCTGCCAATTTTGTACCTAGTCTGACATTTTTCTGACCATACTTTCAATATTTCTTTTGTAATTTTCATTTCCATAATCTCACTGTAAAATTTCTATTCTATTGCCCTAAGATTGAGAATATTGCAATATTGATGCAAATTATTTTGGTATTTCAATTGAAGACACTGTGAGAGATTTTTACTTCTTCTTCCTTTTATTTTTTTATCTTTGGCAAATAAATGATTTTGACAAGAATATTAACATGGTTATATGTCATTTAAATACTAATCGGTTTCATAATTTCCAGAAAGAGGCATTGCAAATGCCCTTTCTCAAAAACAACCAAAAGAATTACGAATTATTATCTAAATTGGTGTTCATTCCTTATTACGAAAACAATACACTTCCTGTATTCAAATATACATGTACAAATACCTAATGCTGAAATATTTCAAATTACTGTTAAATTGCAATATAATGGGGAATGTACATTCAAACAAATGTTATTGCAGAAAATGCTCAGGTAAGAGTTATTCAACTGTGTTTATTGTTTCAACCAAATTACTGATAATTGTAACTTAAAAAGACCTTAGTTATTAACTTATTTCAGATGATTATGACACTGATTTTACAAATGAAATATAATCTGGTTTCACTTTTTATACATATTTTATATTAGTCTTTTCTTTGAAAAAAAACACATCTCATTAATCAGTCAGCTTTCACACAAAATTAACTTTACATTTTATGTAGTGTTGATCAAAATAAATAACAGGTACACTATGCAGGTCAAGATTTTAGGTATTAAGTTAGATATGTAATAAATTGAATTCACAAATTGTTGACCTCATTACGAGTATGATTATCAACTGTCATGAAATTAATTGTGGTCAATCAAGACTGCATTAGAATGGAGTTGATTCCAATTAATGCTTACACTTTTGAGTGTAATTGTTAGAAAATAATGACAGTTGATAATCATACTGGTATTGTATCAATACTCTTATTTGCCTAATGAAAGAATGGGAATAATAGCTTTTAAAAAAAGTGTGGGAATCAACTCTGATATCAATTACATCTTGAACCAAACTTTATTCAATGGCTTACACGAACATTGGATACTGATAAAACCCTTTCCTAATTTCTTATCAACTGCTTGAATTTGATCAATAACTTTTTCACATTAATAAATAAATGGCAATTTATTAATTAAATCTTTATTTACAAAGGAACTATATGTAAGTGTATATCTAAAATAAAGAAGTTGTTTGTCCAACCTTTTCTTTATTTAAGGACTAATAACATATTAGAAGTTGACAGTTGATGATCAAAATGGTGTATAATGTTTCTGCAAGTAATAGAAACACATAATTATTTTCATGATATGTCATCAACTTAGATACAAGCATGAATATGTTCGGTACAGACAAAAAGACTGTGTCCCTAAGGGTGCATATAGCAGGAATCAATACAACGTATCGTTAACCTTTAAACGATCATATCATGTCAACTTTAGAAACTATTCGTCGTTTTAGGACCTTTCTAAAGGTTTCAATTTTTTGCTGCATTTTGGCATGATTTTGTCGTCTAGAATTTTGGCCATACAATACATAACTTTTTTTATTTTATGGCATACACTGCTGATAAAAATTTAATTTATGAGCCTTTCAATCTTTTCTATCAAATTCATAATGGTTTTAGTTTTCACGTTATGTTATAGATAATGCATATTTTAAGGTTTTTCCTGTCGCATGACACACCCCAAGGTGTGCAATGCGACAAGAAAAACCTTAACATATGCCCTATCTGACTTACATACCGTAAAAAATTACTGCGTTCTTCAAAGATTTGCGGGAAAATGTATCCCATTTAACCGATCACATTAAATTGGGATATTCTTTAAGGTATAACAAAGTCCACTTATAATGTGAAATTAAACTCATTTATCTAGATATAAAAATATAAATATCTATATATAATCACTATTCAGTTTAATCAAAATTTTACTGTAATGGCATGAAGCAAGAAATAAAACAATTGTTTCGGTTTATGAAAAATACAAATCACTTGTTAAGAAATTTATTATATTAACTTTATAAAAGGGGGTGTAGTGGTTTTTTTCTCTAGTTTTATGACATTTTACCGCGATAAATCAAAATAATTTTCAAAATTTATGGGAAAAAATGGTTTTCTCTTTTTTGCCTCGCAATACAAGTTTTCTTAAACAATTGAGAATCAGGATAGCATATTGGGAAAGCCGGTGACATTGAAGATTCCCTTCCGGTGGTCACGCGGGAAAGGGAAAGATAATCTAAAAATTTTGTGGTGGAGCTGTAATCACCGTCTAAACAAAATCGTAGCCTGTGATTCAGACAATAAATTTATCAAAACACCTTACTATTCAACACTATTTGCGGTTTAATTTTCATCAGAAGAGATTATATTATATTGTTATCCATTCGTTTGATGTGTTTGAGCTTTTGAATTTGCCATTTACTTAGGAACTTTCCGTTTAGAATTTTCCTCGGAGTTCGGTATTTTTGTAATTTTACTTTTTACTGCAAACAATAAATTAAAATAATTGGTTTGTTATTGAAATATGATAAATAAAGTGACGACCTCTGTTAACTTCCAAAAAAAACGCAAGTCATACCCTCCGTCTCACAAAAAACGGCAACAATTGCATCCTAAAACTTTTTATTATTTGAGATATACAGATATGTGAATAAGAACCATTGGGGCACATGACTATGTGAAAGAATTCCAGGTACTCTGTTTTGTTTGCATAAACAGGAGGTCATAGATCAACGTTTTCCTTACGTTTTAGGAGTTATTGCATTGTGTATGAATGGATTTTCATAGTCATTTCAGTTGTCTGTTGGTGTTCTCCCCCCTTTTGCCAACTTCCAAGAAATTTCAGTGGCTATAAAAAATAGCATTTTCTAAATAAAAACCTTACACAAATACAAGCTCAAAACACTCAGCTAATCTCTGCAAAAATTACTAAAACAAACTATTTACATGTTAAGCCTGACATATATTGATTGCAGCTAACATTCAGATTCAGTCTACGCTTAAAGTTTTTCTGTTATCAATAACTTTGTCAAAGTTTCATAGACTTTTATGAAACTTGGACAGAAGCTTGTTTGTGACAACAACAAAAAACAGTATCGAGAGCAAAATTTGGAAAATATTTGTTTTCGTTTTTCCATATTTTACTGCTAAATGGACTTAGTGCTTTTACACTTAACATTCATATTCAATCTAAATTTAAAGTTTTTCAGTCATCAAAAACCTTCATGTAGTATTATGAAATTTTGACAGAAGCTTGTTTATGACAAAAAGACAATAT